TGTACCACTTGGGTTGAGTATATCAACTGAGTTTATTCAATTCACTGCAAACGCAATATCATGTCTAGTATAGTTCATTAGGAACATTAGACTCCCAATTATTTTTGCATATTCTTCTTGAGACACACTATCTTCCAGGGTTTTTGATTGTTTAACTTGGATCATTAGGGGTTTTATGCGGGGTTACATCATAACTATCAAACTTCTTTAATAGTTTCTTTGTATAGTGGCTTTCTAACAAATGGTAACCTATATTGGTTTTTGAAACTCGTTACTCCAAGTATAACATCGGCTTCACCCATATCCTTCATATCAAACTTAGCACATAGAGTTCTTTTAGTCTCATTAATAGCTTCAATGTTTGAACTGAAAATCAGCATGTTATCTACCTAGAGGCATATCATCACAATTTTAGACTCAATCTCTTTGGTATACAAACAGGCATCTGACCGGTTGGTAGTGTAACCTAGGTCTATTAAGGTTTTATGAAATTTTTTATACCACTGCTTATGAGCTTGTTTTAAACCATATAGAGATTTTTTTGAGTCTACATACCTTTCCTTTCTTGCCAGGAGCAACACATCCAGGAGGTTGTTCCATGTAGATTTCTTCTTTTAGGTCACCATTGAGGAATGTGTTTTTACGTCCATTTGGTGAATTATCAGCCTGTGTAAGGATGCTAAAGCAAACAGAACATGAATGATTGCAATTTTTGTTACTAGTGAGTATGTATAAAAGTAATCTTCACCAAATCTCTATGTGTAGCCTTTGGCTAAAAACCTGTCTTTGAATCTTTCAATAGACCCATATGGTTTTAACTTTCTTTTGAAGATCCATTTACAGCCGATTGGTTTACACCCTTTAGGTAGGTTTACCAACTTCCAAGTGTGATTGGATTGTATGGAGTCCAGTTCACTTTTAATTGCTTCCTTCCATAATGTGGAATCGACTGAGGGCATAGCATCTTCAAAGGTTTTTGGTTCTTCTCCTAACACATATGAACTAATCACATAATTCATTTATGTCTTTCAATTCAGTCACAAACGTTATGAAATCAGAACCAAAGCTTTTATCTATTCTAGGCCTTTTGCTCATTCTAGGCTCATCGGAATTATTTGCAATACTAGACATAGGAAGTAATGCATGTTCATTTCTTTGAAAACTACTAGTAGATAAATTGTGAGTACTCTTTAAAGGAAATATGTGCTCAAAGAAAACACCATCTCTAGATTCACATATTGAACGACTTCCTAAGCATATAAATCTATAAGCAACACTTTTTTCAGCATACCCAACAAATGTCATCTAAGGTTTTAGGTCCTAGGTTGGGTCTTTTGAAGGACGAGAGTCCACCATTGCCAAGCACCCCCACACTTTAAAGTATTTGAGGTTAGGGGCATGTCCTTTCCACAATTCATATAGGGGTTTTTTCAAACCCTTTATGGGGTACTCTACTCAGTATGTCGTTTGCTGTTAAGACAACTTCCCCCCACAAGGAGTTTGGAGCACCTGAACTGATCAACATAACATTAATCATTTCTTAGAGTGTTCAACTTTTTCTTTCAGCTATGTCATTTTGTTGGGGTTGGGGTTGGGGTTTGGTGGGGGGAGGGGGGGGACAAGGAACAGTCACCTTATGAACAATACTAGAAAATTCACACAAACTTTTGAGAAAATTTGTTTCATATTGTCCTCCTCTATCAGAATGAAACCTTTTTTTTTTTTTTTTTTTTTGTCTTTTTATCTAATTGATTTTCTACTTCTGATTTAAAAACTAAAAAATTTTTTTCGACTTCGTCTTTTTTTCTCAAAAGATAAATCTTTGTAAATCGAAAAAAATCATCAATAAATGAAATAGTAGCGTTTTCCACCTCTAATTTCAGTGCTATTGAAATATTCTAAATTAGTATGAATAAGCTCAAGCACAGTTGAGGTATGATGATTTACAATAGAGAATGATTTTCTAGCAAATTTAACTTCAGCACATGTTTCACATTGAGAATACGAGTCACTTGACATGTTTGACAACAAATTCATATTTTTCAGTCTGTTTAAACAATTTAAGCCAACATGTTCTAGTCTACTTTGCCAAACATTAACAAAGACAATGATATAAGCAGAAGAAGAAGCATCATTATTATTGTTTGAGCCATGCTAGTTTGAGATACAATCATAAATGATCAGAGGAGGATCATTAGTGGCGTGGGAGATTTCTAATAACAACAACATCTAACACAAAGAGTCTTCCACACAGTTATCATTTTTTAAGATATTCCGCAGATATCCTTTTTTAAGACATCCCCCCCCCCCCCACCCCACCCCCAACGAGTCATGACCAGACGATCAGACTCAAACACTAACTTAATTCCAGTCTTGTTCAGCAAGGCTCTGGAGATTAAGTTTCTACGGAGAGAATGGACATATAACACATTTTGCAACAGTAATTTTTTCCCAGAATATAACATTTGTTCTACTTTCCCTCTACCTCTTACCTCAGAGACGCTGGAATTCCCCATGAATACTTGTTTTCCTTCAGTGATAGGCTCGAACCATTTGCACATATCTTTGTTGTTGCAGAAGTGGCGAGATGCTCCTGTGTCCACTACCCATTCTTCTAGATCTCAAACCATGTTGGCCTAAGTTATTACGGCTGTAATCACCTTAGCGTTCTCCGTGTTTTCTAGTAGATTGGGTTGATTCTTAGGCCCTTCATTACTTGTGTTTTGGTTGATAACCCCTCGCAGTGATAGCACCGGACACAGTGACCTTGTTTCCCGCTGACAAAACATCCACCACCTTTCCCTTTTTATAGATTTTGCCGTTCTTGAAGCGATTCTTGTTGTTTTCGGAATTTCTTTTCTTGTTTTTATTTTGACCAGCAGTTTTTGCCATGTCAAAATTGACACTTGTTTCTACGACGTTAGACTTTACATTATCAAGAAGAATAGAAGACCTGTGCATCAAGTGATTCTCCTCTTCTATGTTCAGGTGGTTCACCAACTGCTGCAGTGTGTAATATCGCCTTTCATGCTTCATCTTATTCTAAAAGTCTGACCAGACTCGGGCAATTTCTCAATTAATGCATTTGACAGAAAAACATCGGTTACTTAGGTTCCTTCAGCCACCATGTCAACAACCAAATGTTTATACTCGTGCACCTGTTCGACTATGGATTTGGAATCGGTCATTCTAAAATTCAGCCAGCGTCCAACTGTTATTTTCTCCTTCCAGCATTATCAATGTCATATTTTGTTGTAGTAAGTCCTAAATAGTTTTGGCAGACTTATGCGCAGAAAATGTGTCAAATATGGAGTTGATCATTTGCAACAGTATTGCTGCTCATGCATTCTTATTATCTCTTTCATATTTGGTGTGAGCTTCCTAGGTTATAGCAGTGGCTTTTATCGTAGGTGTTTTTTTATCAGGCGTGGCGTCCGGAATTGTAACTTGTGATTCTGGTTGTGCAGGCAACTTAGGAGTGTGTTAAGAAGATACCTTGTATTTTGCAAGATCGTCAATGATCACGTAGTACAGGTCCTGTGCCTCAAGAAGTATTAACATTTTTTCAGACCACCTTCGGAAGTTGAGACCACTAGTCAAAGGTTCTACTGTCTTGAGGTCGACAACGTTCTTTCCAGAGTTTGACATTGTTATCTTCCAAGTAAAATGCTTTAAATTGTTGGAATACGTAAGCTATAGAAGCTGGCAGGAAGATGAATAATGTCGTACACAAGCGTACTGTTACTGTATGCTGGGTTTGTATGAACGAAAGAAGGGAAAGGAAGGTTCTGTGATGTGTTAGGTACAACGTTACATTAAAAGCATTTTACGACCAGGGTATTGTATGCTTTCGACGGGCAAACACAGAACAACAAACCTGACAGATTAATGCTCAGACTAGAAACATAAAAGAGGAAGAAGAAGTGCGAATTGCTTCTACCACAGTGGGAAAGGGAAATTTATATACTAAGCAATATAACAACACTCTCTATACCGGCCACAAAAAAGGAACGCAAGAAGCGATTAGGGGAAGCAGAATGTGGACACGTAGTTGGCTTGTTATAAAAGAGTTTGCGTACAAGGTAGTAGAGGATCTACAAAAATAGGGATTTAAATAATTGCTATAAAGACCAAAAAGTTGACCACACTTATAAAAGAGTTTGCGGAAAAATTAGTAAAGGATTCGCAAAAATATGAGTTTAAATAATTTCTATAAAGACCACCAAAAAGGTTGACCACGCACGCATGGGAACCAGTTAGGTGGCGACAATGGCGTGCGTCGTTCCTCTTTATTTCCTCTCTATAACTCTTCAAGTCGTCTTGAACGTGTTGAGCCTTATAAATGAAGAAAATGTGAGTTAGGCAACCAATGTGAGACAACAAGTAAAGACAAAGATGTTTTTCATCTTTAATTAAATGTTTTTCCAACAAGGAGCCCTTAGAATTGAGGATTTAACCTTTGGAGAAGTATAAAGCATACTCTCATACATAAAATTTTGATGTGGACACTTGTATTGAAATTACATAAAAAAATAACTAATCAGATCTCGTTACATCATGAGTAAAATTAAAGAGTAAGATTTGCAATTAGATGTAGTAGAACTCCCATTAAAATGGTAAAGGGCAATGCAGATATGACCACGCGTCCAGTTACTAGAAGCAGCCACAGAAAGCAAATTTCCCACTTTGCATCTATGAAGGTACATACGTGTCATGCTTTTGGGGTGAGTGCTCTGTACGTGTCTCACCTTCCGTTGGTCCTCTCATGGCGTCCAATCGCGGCGCCCCATTTCCATTTCCATGGATGCGCTGCTTTTCTTCTGTGGCCCCATTCCTCCCTGTTTTTGGTTTGCCCTAGACACGTGGTCCTTCCTAGATCACCCAGCGACTTTGCTCTCTCTCCCCAGCATGTTACCTAGCTATTATCCACGCCTTAGCCATCATACCAAACTATTCTCCATCTCCGCAGCTCATCTTACCGGAGAAGAGATCAGAGGGCGATGCGTATGGACGTCGGAAATGGGTGGCGCCCCACCCCCGCCGCTTCTCGCGACAAGACGATAATCAACCGTATGATGCTAAGATTCCGGCCAATAGCTCCCAAGCCGGCCGCCGATACTCCTTCAACTACCACTCCTGCTTCATCATCTGCATCCAAATCCAAAGATCTTGTTACTGAACGGCCCAGATCTAAGAGAAAGTATGTTAGGGTTAAGAAGATGAGAAAGCGTAAGGGTATTAGAACGCAAAATATTGGTAATAATAATGATAGGACCGGTGAAGATGAGGGAAAAAGTGAGACAACGGCGGTGCTCACGCTTCAGTTACTGCCGGAAAGTAGTAGCTGTAACACTAGTTTCCATAGAGGCTCACCTAACAAGGGATCTATGGAGAAACCCTTTTTGATGAACTTTGATAATCTTCATGATATCCAGTTGGGCCCGGGATGGACAGATCGGAGCCGTAGGATGGTGGAGTCGTGGGTGATGGTGGAGGGGATGAGCGACACGTGGGTAGACGGGGGAGAGTTGGGGTATTCCGACACGGAGAAGATGAAGAATCTGGAGAGGGACTCATCATGCCCCGCCCTCATCTCCGACGCTCTCAACCGGGTACAGTGGGTCAACCCGGCTTACCGGAAGATGGTGGATCCGTGGCACCACGACGGAGACGCGGCGGCGCCGGAGCTCGTTGTGCGCCTCTCGATGACGGAAAATGTAGGCGGCGGCGTGCTTTTCCGGGCGGCGGCGTTTGCATGCAACGTGAGGGTGGTTTACTGGTGGCAGACGACGGCGAATTCGAAGATGCAGACCCAAACGATGCCGTGCGATGTGTGGAAGATGGAGTTTGGAGGTCTTGCATGGAGGCTGGACGCCAAGGCCGCGCTTTGCTTGGGCCGTTAGTTCATCATAAACTAATTTCTTTAAAATCATATCATTTCTATGCTCATCACTTACTACTTCAATTCTACCAGCCTACCTCAAGCTAAACCTCAAGGTAATGCTAATGCATCACATATATTATATATATAAGTGTGTCGGTGTGTGATAGAGAACAACTATATATATATGGAACCTCCAATCCATCATAGTCATTCCTAATTGTATAATATATGCACTTTCCTGTATAAACATTATCTAAAGTAAACAAGTGTAAAATGTTTTATGATTTGAAAAGCCTGTTTATTTTAAAATGAAATGTAACAAATATATATACACTATATAGTGTGTGTGTATGTGTATGTGTATGTGTATGTGTATGTGTGTGTCTATATATATATATATATATATATATATATATATATATATATATATATATATATATATAGAGAGAGAGAGAGAGAGAGAGAGAGAGAGTGAGTGTGAGTGTGAGACAGTGTGTGTGTGAGTGAGAGAGAGAGAGAGAGTTTTCAGTCTTTTTTTTTTCTTTTTTTCTTTTTTAATATTCTATAAAATTATAATTAATTACAATTTAATTAATAGAATTCTATAAAATTCAATTACAATTTCTGCAAACCCTTTACATAAACTTAAGAAGTTGAGATAAAAATAATTAAACATAAATTATATTTCTTTCAGAACAATAAATTTTGAACTAAAACTTTATGATATATAATCCCCATTGGCCATTTCATAAGATAAGATGTAATAAAAGGGGAAAAAGTACAACAGATGTGGGATTGAAATATATTCACTTTTCGACATTTCATTAAATTTTAACAAGTACTCCTTATCTTATTGCTTAATTTAGTTATATATATGATAATTTTTCTTTTCATACAAGTTATATATGATAATTTTATTTAATAATAACAACAATAATAATAATAATTATTATTATAATAATACCAAATAGAGTTGTCACACTAACAGAAAAAAGGTTTTCCACATACATCTTTTACCCCTTTTAACGTTGATTTTTTCATGTAGTACATTATAAAATATAAGACATCAAATTAGATTTTTTTTCTTTAAAAAAAAACTGATGTGTTAAATAATTTATTAATATACTTTCAACTCCTATTTTAAAGAAAAAAAATGATGTTGAAAATTTAAATTTATATTTCAAATAATATATATTTTTTCAACTCTTATTATTTTTTTTTTCAGGATTTGGTATTGAAAGAAAATAAAGTCAAAGGAAAATATTTATTACAGTCAATGAAAAAAGATTAAATTTGGCAAAAAATATCTTCTTAAATTTTTAATGGAAAGACATTTTTCAAATTATTTATTTTTCCTTCTTTCTCATAATCCTCCTACAAACAAATTTTCAGATTATTATTATTACCACCACAAATCCACAACTTCACACATGATCACCACTCCACCACCGCCACCACAAACCACACCACTTCCGCCGCCACCACGTACCACACCACACCACCTCCACCACCCCATCATCACCACTCCACCAACGCCACTACCACCACATCACCACCACAATAACAACCTCCACTATCGCCACCGCCACCAGGCCATCACCATCACCACTATCACCACAGTCACCTCTACCAATGCCACCACCACCATAACAACACCACCATTGCCACTACCACCACTGTATCACCTCAACCATCACTAAGCTACCACCACTACCAACACACCACCACTATTACCCCACACCCCCCCCCCCCCTCCCCCATCACCACCACACCACTTATAATAATAATAATAATAATAATAATAATAATAATAATAATAATAATAATAATAATAATAATAATAATAGTTATTATTATTATTATTATTATTATTATTATTATTATATAATTTATAATATGTTCATTTGTAGGAAAATGATGAACTAAACAGGAAAAATGTAATTAGTTAACTTTCAGTCAAACAGAAAAAGATAGTTTATGACCTTCCGCCAAACACTATAAAATTAAAAATTTTTTGGAAAATGAAGTATTTTCTAGAAGTTATTTTATAGAAAATATTTTTCAGATTTATAAATGGACCCTAAAAGTATTATATTATATTTTTCTCAAAAGTATTACTTTTTTTTTGAAAGCTTCTCAAAAGTATTACAATTTCACTAATAAGTAACAAACAATTTACTTTTGATTAGTATTACATTTCCAACATAAATATATACGGTCATGCTCATATGAGCACACTCTCCCACATGAGAACATATCTAACTCGTATAAAATAAATTAAAAGATCAATAACCATCATTAATCTCATGTAATTAGCATTCAAAAAAATGAAAAGATTAACATTTAGGAGTAAATTAGTCTTTTGTGTGTATGGTAAGTTCATCTAGGGGAAAAATATGAGATTTCCCCATTCCATTTATTATGCTGGTATAGGTCAATCTTTTTTATATGCACTTTTGGTATGTTTTGACAAATAATGCACACTATTATTCTGGTGTACACTTGCGTTGTGCACTCACGTGATCGTTTTTGTGCATTCTACGTGGGATGACGAGCATTTATTCATACACTATATCACATTTTTAACATGTGTTTCGTTATTTTTCGGTTGTTTCATTTATGTGCATTTACATGTTGCGTTGTCGTAGTCACTTAAAAAATGCCTAGAATATTGAAATATGTTAATGTTCATTTTTTCACAATAGGATATTTTTGTCACATTTACCTTTTTTTTTTTCCTAAAAATAATAAGAGTAAAAGACATTTTTGGTCCTAGACTTATAATGGCACGGCCAATTTTAGTCCTCTTTAAAAAAATTAGACAATTTGTGGACACTCTTATTGTAACAAGGACAATTTTGGTCCTCCGTCATTCTTTTCGTTAGTTGCACCATTTGAGTAGGGGTATTTGGGTCTTTTCATCATACCTCCTCCTTGCAGCCATGGCACCAGAGGCACCCCCACAGCTTAGGATCGCAAGCATGAGGAACCAAGAAATAAAGCCCCGGAGTTGCCAGGAACCATACCGGAACTGTTATGTAGTAGGCAATCCACCCGTCGTGGCTCACACCCCAGTAAGCAGCCATGGTCACCGAAGACGCGAGAATGAGGAAGATGAAAAGGATGAGCTTGTAGCGATCATGGGGCGTAGTGACCCCAGCGACGTAGTAGTGGCGCACGAAGAGAGCAAGCGCAACGAGCATGAAGATGAAGAGCGTGGCGATGGAGAGCAGGTTGGCCAAAATGTCCAGTTTCGTGAACAAGGCAATCACCGCAGTGGATGCCATCATTGTAGCGGTGGCGTTGTCCCAGTCTTGGCATTCATTGCGGCATTCACGTGGGAGAACCAGGGCGGAATCATGTGGGTTCGCGCAATGTGGGTTAGATATCGCGCTCACCAGTAACACGGAGGTCATCCCTTTCAAAGATCCAAAAGTAACCAAGTACTGGGCCCACGACCACCCAACACTCCTGAAAGCCATCGAGAACGGAGCGTTTTCATCAATGTTGTCATATTTCTGCATCAAACACGTATAGGGTGATCGCCATCAAGCAGTAAATAGTGGTTGTAATCACCATCGACTCCACCAACCCGATCGAAATATCTTTAGCTGGGTTCTTCGTTTCCTCCGCCATCGTTGAAACCGCATCGAAACCCACATAAGCAAAAAACAGCACAACCGCCGCCTTGAAAACCCCCCGGGACCAAACGGCGCAATGGGTGTATAGTTGCTGGCATCGTCTTTGATGATGCCACATACTATGATGAACAAAGTCACGATTATGTGGACGATACTGGCAACGTAGTTGAGGCGGGAAGAGCTCTTTGTGCTGAGAATTGCAATGAAATAGATGATTACGCAAACTCCAACGGCAATGGGGTCGAGCTTGTTATAGCCTTCTGCTAAACTGTAAGCTTTGATTAGAAAAGAATCGGGATGCTGGTTGCAGAGAGTGGCTAAGTAAGATATCCAGGACCGAGCCACTACTGCTCCGCCAATCACATATTCGAGAAGGATGTTTCACGCGGCTAGGCCACAAAGTCACCTAATTAAAGTTCACTAAGAAGGAGGTATGATGAAAAGACACAAATACCCTTCTCAAATGGAGCAACTAACGGAAAGAGTGACGGAGGACCAAAATTGTCCTCGTCACAATAAGAGTGTCCACAAATTGTCTGATTTTTTAAAAGAGGACTAACATTGTCCGTGTCTCTATAAGTTTAGGACCAAAAATGTCTTTTACTCAAATAATAATATAAATAAAATAACGCAAACGTATGCACCCAACAAATGACATACCAATAAAACATGTTCCTAAAATGCACATAACAGTACAAATAAATACACACTATCTATCTTCCCGCAACCCCAAACCCCGTCTGCCTTCCCTTAGCCATCGCAATTGAACAAACCACCATGCAAACATGCCAATATAATAGACAACAACCTAAAATGCACACAACATTACAAACAATTACACATTATCCATCTTCTTCCAGATCAAACCATGTTCGCATCTTCCTACCAACACAACATGTACCTAAAATGCATACAACAATACACACATGTGCACACAATCCATCTTCCCCCAAGCCTCAAACCCCATCCACCTTTCTCCCGACATCGCGGACCCTCTCCCCCCCCCCCCCCCCCCCTCCACCATACCCACCCCTTTAAAATGCACACAACGGGGGCCAAACACATGCACACTATACACCAACCACTCCACAATAATTCCACTGAAGACCTAACCACTGTAAAGTGCACCATAACTCTACCGAAACTCCGCAACAATAGAATACACACAAAACATAATAGCCCATACAAATGCACACTAACCATCAAGCCGGTTCAAGCTTCTCAAATTCAAATTAAATTTGACCAAACTCAAATTAAGTTTTAATTAAACAGCTTGCGAGCGGTTCAACTCGTTTGCACCCCTATATGTTGCACTCGCAAACTTTGAGTTTTACTTTCTCAAATCAAAGGAGGGTCTGACCAAAAGTTTTGTATTAACAATCCACTTACCTATTATTTTTATTTGATAAGTTTTTTTTTTTAAAAAAAAAAAATTATAACTAAATAAACTCACACAAATATTTTTTTTACTCCGTATAAAATAATATATAGTTGTTTTATGTAATTTGATATGACAAAAATATTTTTAAAAAATTATAAATCTAACATTTCTAGTTGCCAAAGGCCTTGTGATCGAGCGACATAGCTGCGACCCCTCAAGTGAGAGGTTTCAGGTTCAAACCCCAGTGTGGGGGCTTTGTCTCTTTGTGTTTCAGTAATCGCTTGTTGGCCATTAGGGACAAGGAGACTCGGGGGTAAGAGTCAAAACTTCGGGGAGAATGGTTGTCATCAAGAACGTGTATTCCTCATCGTCACAAGAATTATTGTGTGTATGTTGAAGTTTTATATTAAGGGGATGCATAAACAAAAAAGGAAGGAAAATATTTGGAAAATAAAAATATATATTCTAGATTTCCGGAACGATTAAATTCCTAAGTTACTTAGGAATCTTTGATACAGTTTTACTCCCAAGCCAGTTCAAACACATTCGCTAACTCGGGAGTAGGGGGCTGGTGACAGAGTAATGGGACCCGACCCGGGACCACTAGTGAGGCCAACAAGCACCTAACTCGGAACCACCTCAAGAAGCCCAACGGTCATAATCATTTACTACGGAGTTATAATGCCAACGGTCACGGACTCAAGACAAGGGATAATGAACACTCGACCTTCATTAATATGGTGAATAAATGTGGACTTGACTTGACTTGGCTTGGCTCCTCATTACTGAGGGACCGTTACTGAGATAGAAGAACGTTGGAGTATTAGCATAAATAGGATACTCTCTACATTCAGGGGACACACTCTGATTTTTGTACAGAAAACACTTTGGCAATATACACACAACTTGTTACTTATCAATTAGATTCTCCGATAACATATTTACCATCACATATAAAAATTAAGTATACTAATTTCATCAAAAGTTTTTACATTTTCCCTTATAAGTAATGTTGGCAAGTGTATGTTTGTTACTTATATAGAGCGTGTTTGGTGCATGGAATAGGTCGGGAATGGAATACCATTCCCGGGAATAGACCTATTCCATTATTTGGTTTATCTTTTCATGGCTGGGAATAGCATTTCCGGGAATGATATATATATATAACCATTGCCGTCGCCACCACCACCACCATTGCCATCGCCATCGCCGCCATCGCCATCGCCACCACCACCGCCACCATCGCCGCCGCCACCACCACCACCGCCACCATCGCCGCCGCCGCCACCACCACCGCCACCACATATTTTTGTAAGGGTATTTATGTCTTTTAAAACATATATCATTTCTATTCCTTAAACCAACCAAATACTGTAATATAATTCTTAAAGTCTATTCTTCCGCGAACCAAACAATAGAATACAATTCATATTCTATTCCTTGCCTATTCCATTCCTTATGGAGTAACATTTCTATTATCTCAAAATTCATTTCGTGAACCAAATGTGCTGATAAGAAAAAATGTAATACTTTTAATTCAAAATGTAAAAGTATTATATTTTTCTTCAAAAGTATTACATTTTCCAAATAATCAATAAACATTTTATTCTTTATTAGTATTACATTTGTTCTTGACCCGACCCGTCTCACAGATAAGAATATGTTAGACAATTTTACACAAATTTTTGCCAAATTCATAATATAAAAGAGTAAAAAATTTCATAACTTTTTGAATAACAATGGAATTTTAAAAGTCTTAATTGGATACCACTTAAAGGTTAAAGACTCTTTAAAAATTGTAATCGAATACTGTCTGACTTTTTAAGATTCTTTACAAGTTTGAATTGAATATCTCTAAATTTTAAAGTTCATAAAAATCTTTAAAAATTTATGAAAATCACGATCGAATACCCCCTCTAAATATGTATTCCCTAATTAATGATACAAAATTAAAATACTAATTTTTTTATTTTTAAATGTAATTATCTTAATTATAAATTTAGTTATATAAATTATAATTAGAGAAATTATATTATAAAACTTTTATAAATACATATTAATAAAAATTACGTGCTCATACAATCCATTATACAATCATATAAAAACTACGGGGAACCAATGTGCAGATTGGCTTGCAAATTTTGGGCAAAATATAGACTGGGGAACTCGTGTTTGGAACTCATCCCCCTCGAATCTCAACGCTCTTATGGACGCCGACGCTCGCAGCAGGTCGGTTCCAAGGATCAGATAACGCCTTCAGCTGAAGGTGGCAAATGCACCAAAAAAAAACAATCATATACATCCAATTAGGACCTACATTTACTCCTACAAACTTTAAAATTTACATTATTTGGTTTCTAAATATAACTTCCTTAAGTATTCTTCCAAAGACTGAACCCCAACCCTAAGGGAATAACTTCCTTAAGTATTATTCACATTGTTGGAAGTGTAATATATATGAAATATAATTAAAAAAATTAATTTAATTATGTAAATTTTGTCTGTAAATTTATCTAAGTATGTATATCATTAAATACTATATTAATTATACAAAATTTTAATTTTAATTTTGTATATTATGAAATTACAAACCTGACTAAATATATTGATAGTACTATATTATTATATTGTATACTGTAACATTTTTTAATTGTGCAGATAAAACACTAATTACCAATTAATGATATTTTGTTCGTTTCACTAAAAAGGAAAAAATTGTATTTTTATAAAAATTGGAGGGGTATATTTGACATTTACGGGGAAGTGGTCAGCAGTTGCGTAGATCCTTCTACGGACTATGTTCTATAAATAGACGCGCTCTGAACAGCTGAACGCTATTAGCTTTCTTTACGACATTACCCCTTATTCAGCCGCCTTTACTTGCGATTGCTCTTACTAGGTTTGTCTCATCTCTCTCTCTTTCTCTCTCTCTCTCTCTCTCTCTCTCTGTTCACAAATACTATTTGAGGCTTGGGGTTTTGATGGTGTTCAACCAATTAGGGTTATCTCTGGATAGGATAAGGGGATAACCCTCGGTCGTAAGTCTTGTCTGGGTTTTCTTTTTTCGCGTTCTTTGCACTCAATTTTGGTTCTTGAAGTGAGTAAGAAGTTGATGATTTTATAGTGTGTTAGACTTAGAGTGGATAAAGAATGAGGAACCATACACTTGTGTTTGATTGGCTGCGCCTTTATATTGATTTCAGGTCTAATTTGTACACTGGCAGTTCTTAAAGATTTCGTCTTTTTAATTTAGGGAAAGATATAAAGAACAGATTCAAGTTCATGCGAAGGAGATGGTGTTGAAGAAGCATAGAATTCCAGGGGACTATTCAAGTGTTTGTAGATCGAAAGTTTCTGGAAGAATTGACACTGGTGTTACTGTTTCTGAGGGTTCTATGGCTTCTAGGAAAAAATGGAAAACTTTGAATTCTTCCACCCAGCATGGTTTTTCTGTGCCCACAAATGTTATACGATTATCGAAACTATCTTTGTCTGAGAGAAAGAACTTAGTACTGCAGTTGAAATCCGAACTTGGAGATATCCAAATTCTCCTGAAGAAACTCGAGTCGCTAGAGGCAAAACCTGTTGCAGTCCCGTCTAATGAAATTCTTAGCACACAGAAAGGGCCACCTGTGCAGAACTTTTCGCAATTCCTGGAAAACTCGAGCTCTCTTGGCCAGAAGCCACGGGGGTGGAATCGGGGTACATCGGGAAGGTTTGAGTCTCTGAAAAGGGATCCCGAGCAGTCAAATACGAACTCGATGATATTCAAGAAATGTGAGGGCTTGTTGAGAAAGTTGATGACACAAAAGGGTTGTGAGTGGTTTAATCAACCTGTTGATATAGTGAAGCTAAATATCCCAGATTATTTTACCATTATTAAACAACCTATGGATCTTGGGACAGTAAAGAAGAACCTTACTTCGGGTCAGTACTCGAGTCCACTGGATTTTGCTGCTGATGTGAGACTGACTTTCTCGAATGCCATGACCTACAATCCGCCTGGGAATATAGTCCATACTTTGGCTGATACCCTGAGTAAATTCTTTGAAGTTCGATGGAAACCTATTCAGAAAATGGTTCATGTAAATTCAGCTAAACCCGCAGAAGAAAATCCAGCCCTGCATGAAGAATTTGAAATGACCAAGACTGTATCTTCTTCGAAAAAGAGGAAACTTTCTCCTGTACATCATACTGCATCGCCAGAGCCTCTGAAGCAGAGCATGACGGCTGAGGAGAAACAGAAATTAAACACCGACTTGGAAGCATTACAGGGAGATCTTCCTGATCACATAATTGAGTTTCTCAAGGGACAGTCTTCAAATGGAGCAGAGGTTGGGGAAGATGAGATCGAGATTGATTTTGATGTTCTCAGTGATGATACAATGTTCAAATTGCGAAAGCTTCTAGATGACTTTTTGCAGAACAAACAAAGCGAATATGCAAAAGCGGAGCCTTGTGAGATAGAGGTATTCCAGTGTACAATGCAAAGATCTTCCCCTATTAAATTGAATTTTCCACCATGGTTTGAGGTTATATGCTTTTAAGAATGACCTTGGCTTTTTCGTTTTCTTGGCATCTTTATTTCAGCTGCAAAATGATTCTGGATTTAGCAATTCGTCAATGCAAGTAGACAAAGGTTATTAGTATTTAAATTTTTCTTCTTGAATTCCCCATGCTTTCTTAAAGACAATATTAGCGTGTTACCTCCTTATATATCACTAATTTAAATTACAGGTAATGAACTCGAAGATGAGGAGATTGATATTGGTGGAAATGAGCCTCCAGTCTCGAGTTATCCTCCGGTTAAGATTGAACGGAATGTTGGTGAGGAAACTAATGATTGTGTTAATGCTGACGACCCATCTAGCAATTCAGGTTGATCATTTGAGCAATTCAGACAGTTATTTTTGCATGCATTGTGGATGAGGAATTCGCCTCATCCACTTATGAAAATCTTCTTTTTATACCCCATAGAAGTCATTATATATTTACAAGTTTTATGTTTTTGCACAATTGCCCCCCTTCAAGTTAAAAAAAAATGGGTAACTATCTTGTGACTTGAAATAAAGTTTACTAATTATGTTGTAAAATCAATAAGAAATTTTGGGATTCTTGGTACTAGAATTTGGAAATGAAAAATGAAATCTTTAAAAAATAAAATAAAAAAGAAAAAGAGAACATTTCTGAGATATGATTGTTGGATTTGCACTTACAGTGAGGATTGCTACTAGTGTGGAAAGACCAAAAGAGCACCTTTTTGTAATGAGAATTGTGAAAATGCATTTACATAGACAAATGTGACGTTGATATATCATGAATGCATAAATATTTTTTGGACGGTTAATTATACTTCTGGCTCTTATAATAGGTATATATGAATGGTCAAATTACTCCCTAAATTATGCATCGAGGTGGCTATTTTGGTCCCCTTTATTACGGCAATTGTTAGGTCTAAAATGTAGCAAATGGGTTCTGGTTACCTATTTCCTATTACGAATTTTTCTGAGTTTCTTGATTAATTTTCATAGTTGCGCTTTCCTACAGAATCTGATAGTGGGTCGGACCACGTCCATGAACAAGGTTCACAGCAGAAGGCAAACTCTAGTGATTCAGAGGGCCAAGATGATGGTAAGGAATACAAATGAGGGATTGGTTTATAGGCCGTTATAAGTCAAGTCTTATCATCATCATTTAACGTTTTAGGGGAGAGCACCCAGGATGGGAGGCCGGTCTCCCCCGAAAGGCTCTATAGGGCTGCTGTACTGAAGAATCGATTTGCTGATACAATTCTGAAAGCTCGTGAGAAGACGCTTGTGCAGGTAGGTATTTCACCGCACTTTTTTTGGTAGCTTGGCTGACCTGACTGATCATAGGAGATCTCGACTCTATTGTCTGGCAGGGTGAAAAGGGAGATCCAGAAAAACTGAAGCGTGAAAGGGAGGAACTCGAGATGCAAAAGAAAAAAGGTGAGACCTTTGTCCTAATTAACCGCCGTAATTTACTTTAAAGTATATATAACTGACCTATATTGGCCTGTGAGCAGAGAAAGCTCGGTTGCAAGCAGAAGCCAAAGCTGCAGAAGAAGTTCGAAAACGAGCAGAAGAAGAGGCTGCAGCCGAGGCCAAGAGAAAGAGAGAACTCGAGAGAGAAGCTGCAAGGCAAGCACTGCTCAAGGTCAGTTTTTTACACTCGAGTAAATATATCTTGCATCATCGGATCTTCAAACGAACTCTGAATCTGCAGATGGAAAAGACCGTGGAGATAAACGAGAATTCCCGGTTCCTCGAAGACCTGGAGATGTTGAGTGGAGTCGGCCATCCTGAGCATTTGCTTAGCTCTGCAGATGAGACCAGCCCAGAACACTTGCAAGATGGCGGTTTAGGCAGTTTTAAGTTTGGAGGTGGTAATAATCCCCTGGAACAGCTAGGGTTATACATGAAAGTGGACGACGAGGACGAATGTGAGGCCCTGCCACCACCTAAGCTCCCAAACGACCAAGATTCTCTAGAGGAAGGTGAAACTGAATAGGATTTTTTCCATTGTATTATACAAAATATAAACTTGGAAACCATCAAAGTATTGTAAATTGTGAAGGAATCATAGTAATTCTCGGATAAAATTTAGGGACTTATTTGATTTTTTTCGAGATAAAACAAACAATTTAATTTGGTATTGGAGTAGACAGATGATCTTGAATGATAAACAAATATTATTGTATCTTCACTAAAACTTTACTTTTTAGTTAACTTCACAAGTACTATAAGTGTAAAACAAGCCCAGCTAGCACTAAATTCCCAATTCCATCATCTTCTCCAAGAACTGCCTGCATTGTATCACAATTTTCTTGATTATGGAAGTTTGAATCCATGCATGCCATGAACTTAAGAGTAGAACTTGTAGGTCTTGGCTTGTATTATGATTTGTCTCAGCCCTCCAATGGGTGCTATAACCATCAAAAGAACTCCAAGTATGATGCAGAACTGAAATGATATGATATGATATGAAGAGATGAGATGAATGGAAGGATTTAAAACACAAATTAAAGGGAATGTAATTAAGGTGTGTATAGTAGCATTCATTTCATACCCAGTTAGCTATCCAAGAAAGACTGTATTTCTTGGGTTTGTAGATGGCAAGCCACATAATGCATGGCAGCTGCGGGCAAGATTGAAACCATAGTAAGTAAGCTATATATATATAATTTGTTCTATGGTAGAGAATTGAAGTGTTTGTTGCTTACGAAGTATGTGGTTGGGGCAAAAGCGAAACCTCCAAAGAATCCAAGAAGCCCTCCAAAGAAAGGGAAGGTAATGGCAACAAACATTGTGAATGCTGCATATATACATCAATCATATATATAATCAAATTCAGTATATGCATGGTTTAGGCACGTTGGATAATATATATATTGTTCGGCCGAGACCCGTGAAAGGCCAAGTCCAACACCAACTGGCTAGGCGAATTCTTGGGCTGCCATGCCTATTGAAAATGTGGTGTGACTGTATAAGGGAACTTTTGACACAGTGGTAAGCGTTTGAGCTGAGTACAAGTTGCTTTACTTACCCACATAGATGTTCCTAGAGGCAAAACGCAGGTACCAGGTAGGCTTGAACATCAATTTCTTCACAAGTACCGTCTCGATCATGTCAAACACCGGCATTGCATAAATCTAGAAATGAAAGGGTGTTAGGAAAGTGTATAATTTGATGCTTTAACTTAACTTATGACACTTATTACTCACCTGATAACTTCCAATGACATGAACAACTACAAACATGTTGGCCATGGCAATGAGCCAGGTAGGTTTTTCCAAGGTGATGAGGATGTTATCATCCACGGAATTCCCAAACATCCAATACCCAATAAAGGCAACCGGAAAGTAACACAAAGCAACCACAATATAAGCAACAACAACCCCTCTCCACATGGGTCCTTTGGAAGGCTTCTCAGGGGTGGAAGGAATAGTAGCCTGAATCTCCAACACCACATTATGGCCTGCATAGGCAAACGCCACATCCCCTAAAGAAGCAAAGAAGTTGAACACCGTCCCCGGCGTGGAGTGCGCCTTGTACCCATACTCCACCCCGTCTTTGACCCCTTTCTTCACCGACGCCCCCCACGCGATGGTGGAGTAGCTGAGTGACATCACCGCCGCGGCCAAAGACACCCCGGAGATGGAGTTGAAGTTGGGGAGGTGGGAAAGCACGAAATGGGCAGAGGCAAAGATCATAATGAAGTAGGTGAGTTTTATGTCCTTTTTGCAGTGAGGATGACCCTCATTGTCGTAATACTTTTTGCAGACTAATTCGTGGAATTTGTGGAGAGATTTCCCCCCAGTGACCATATAAACTATGTCCACCCCAACTTCCACGACTAATTGTTGGGGCACCACGATCCAGAGGCCCAGTTTTTCTCCGAATGCGTACTGGCCGAGCTCATGGTACCTGTCGAAGCGTTTCCCAGGCACCATTTCGTGCATTTCCACCATTTGCCAGAGAGTGTAGAGAGTGATGATCCAAGAGATGACCATGACCGCCACGCCGGGTCCCCATCCGAGATTTGACATGGCGTAAGGGAGGCTGAGAACTCCCGCCCCAACCATGGCGGTCACGTTGTGGAAAGCTGAGTACCACCATTTTGCATTCCTTGAAGATGTGATTGGAAGCCAGTCATCAATGGCCTTTTCTTTTGCAGATCGTTCATCAACCTGCAAGTCATCTCATCTCATTATTAACTCTATAAATAATTAACCCAAAAATGATGTCCATATTGCGTGGACCGTGGTCCACATAGCTGCGTGGACAAAAAACGATGTCGTTTTGTCTAATTTTATTTTTTCATAGGCTCAGCTGCAACATACATTTTGATAACTTATAATGTACATTACTCTAAAATATAATATACATTATTTCAAAACATAATGTACATTATTTTATAACATAATGTACATTATGTTACCCCAGATTTTTCATTATTCTAATTATGTAATGTACATTATTTTAACACATAATGTACATTATTCTAACACATAATATTTACGGTGATATTTTAGACCGTGGTCCACATAGCTGTGTGGACCGATAATTTGCCACTATTCAGATTATATTTTCATGTTTACAAAATTAAATAAATATTTTCAATTACATCTGATTCTAATGTATAAGCCCAGCCCAGCAACACTGTTAGGATCAAACGTGGTGGGCGGAAGGGGCAAGTCCATCACCTTGCCTCTCAAACGGTTTATAAAGAAGTAAAGTGGAACATTTGGCCAGTTTCTATCACTTAGTGTAGTGACAATAGAGACATAGGATTTCTTCTAGCTATCGGCTGGAGGGATACCTTTGAACAATAAAAAAAAAATAGAACATTCGCTACTAACTATAGAGTTCCTATCACTTAGTGTAGTGACAGTAGAGACATAGGATTTCTTCTAGCTATCGGCTGGAGGGATACCTTTGAACAATAAAAAAAAAAATGGAACATTCGCTACTAACTATAGCTTTTGCTTGATCGTAACAAAACTTTATAATTACACCAAAAGCTATAGCTAAGGGATAATTTTATTTCCTTATATACTAAGCTACTAATTAACATACTGCCACTACAATTTAGAGAGACAGGGTGCTACACTTAACCCTTCAAGGGCCTCCGCCTAATAATCTTTCAGCCACCAATTGTTGGACTTGACCCTTTACGGCTTCCGCTGAACAAAGACTATGATTCAACTCATTTAACCAAATTAACGCTACGCAAAAAGCGCACGGGATCCATGTATGTGCCTCATTAATTTAATAATTTGAAGGGTTACAACGCCACTTCAGTTTTCTCAAAGATCTGATCTGATCTGATCTATATGGAGATTGGACTTTAATTTGGAGGCTATGAAATATGAATATAATTGAAGCGATAGACTTGCTTTTCTGAGTTAAAGTCAACAACATAAGTTCAAAACATACATTTAAGTGTGAAATAAATTAGAATGCCTTAACGTCAACGTAATGTGGTCTAGTTGTTATTATTATTATTATTATTATTATTATTATTATAGACATTTAATAGTCAAAATTACTATTTTTGTCATTGGAGGACTAATTCATTCACTATACTAACAACTCAAGGACCAAATGCAGTAGCAACTATGATTGAAAGATTGAATTAATTACGGAATATTTCTATAAAATTGAGGGACCAAAAGTGTTATATATATATATATATATATATATATATATATATATATATATATATTTTTAAGTAGAAGTTACATTTAGGTCTCGTAATTATTTTATATGTTAATTGTTTCAATTTTTAACATTTTTTTTGTATTGTAATATATCCTATAACCTTTCAAAAATGCTGCAATTTTACTCTCAGCAACGTAGGTAACCATTAAATTATATTAATGTTTCACTTAGTAAATGTGTATTTTTATTAATTTATTATTTTTATAACCATTTCAATTTTCATATTTAATCCGCAAAGTAAAGAAATGAAAACCTAATTTTCTCCCTAAATTTTCCCTCTTCATATTTAGAACATTTTCCTTTTAAATTTTTTTTTTTAATCAAATTCTCTTATTATTATTTTTTTTCTTTAGATGAAATACCAAGACTGAAGAAGGATTTAATTAATGAAGAAACATATAAAATTATTAAAATATCTATGTATTAAGTAAATTAAACTAATTACCCTAATAAAGTTTAATAGTTATGATTTGTTAGGACTTAGGACTAAAATTATTATAACTTTTTTGAAAAGTTAGGGGCTAAATGACTAATAAGAAACAATTGAGGAATTAAAATGTATTTTCTATAAATAAAAATAAAAATAAAAATAAAAATAAAAAAAGAAGAAAACTGGGATGAGGTAGCAGGAGAAGAGCGTATTAGCATACTTCCATGCTGTCCCCTTCCAGTAGATGGAGGTTGTTTATCTCTGTGTATATATCGCTACCTCACAATAATTCTCTCTCTCTCAAAAAAAAATAAAAATAAAAAACAAAATATATAATACAAATAAGAAAGTGAATTGAAGACACTGGAAAACACACAACCCAGCAGATATATATGACAAAAGTTTAAATTATTAGAGGAATTAATTTAACAAAACCAATATATATGTATATATAGATGTGTGTTGAGTATGAAGATGGAGAAGAGTAGTGCTTACAGTCTTGGAGTTGTAGTTTTGGAGATCAGACGACGGAGCTTGAGTACCCATCTTATTATGATCCAGGAGTTAGTTGATGCTAATATATTAGCACCTTCAATTCTATCTATATATAAATATATATATATGTATATACTCCAGCAACTGTATTATATTATGAATTGAAGAATCCAAGCTAAGAGATCAGAGAAGAAGCTCCGAGGTGTAGTGTGATGCCACAATTCAACTATACTCTCTGTCCTCAATTAGCTTTTAAATAAGGACTTGGTTTCCGCCGGCCGGCCTGTTTAATTTAATTTCCTGATTTTAATTTTACTTTGACTTTTGGAAATACTACTGCCATTCGTATTTACGAATCAAGCTCTTAATTATTATTATTATCATTACACTTCAAAGTTCCTTGTGTTTAAATTATAAATATTGTGTGCTAAACTTGTATTTTTCATTTTATTGATAATTGATACTTGTAGGGGGTGTTTGATAAATAATTGTTAGCTGATTGGATTAGTGGCCTGTGTTTGACTAGTTGATAACATTAACGGATTGTAGAAAAATGTTTGATAAATTAGCTGATAGCTGATTACATACAAAATGACCTTTTCAAAAGCTGATCGAAAAAACTAGTTTGACCAATTCTTTGAATTTTAACATTTTAGATACAAAAAGTTAATTAATCAAAAACTCATATTGATTGTTTAACCAAGTCAAACAACTAATAGTGGTCAAATAAACCAAATTGACCAATAAGCTAACTATATTATCAAATAGGACTAGTCTTTTAATTCACCAAAAACAAAAAAACAAAAAAAGGACTAGTCTTTTAAGTATCGTATATATGATTTGATTCAATTCTTCAATTGTTGGTAGGTACAGGTAAACTATGAATCCCTAAGTTAATATTAAAAAAATGTTTTTGGTTTTCAAATGAGTGAAAAGACGATCTCAAATTAATTGTTAGCTAGTAAAATGATTCACCATACATTTTAGATATTTGAAGAATAAAAATCCTAAGAATTGAACCAAAAGTGAAAATTTTAACTATTAAATTAAAATATTGATCAAGTTCACTATACTTTTATGTTCTGAAGTTAAAAATATCATTTTTGGTTCGCTGTAGTACAGTGCGTGTTCCAATCCTATCTGTCTCTTTCCCAAGAAAATTCCACCATTCCTTGTTGCATGGTCTTGGTGGCCACATCCTATATACTATGTAATCAATGAAATATACAATAATAGAGCATTTGGTTGGAATGAATTTAAATTCTATTCCCAGTTAATTTCCACCTCATTTCAAAGGTCACTAAATTCCTTAGTTTGATTGGAAAGAATTGTAATTCCCTCATTTTTATAGAATTAAAATCCCATGTCTTCCTTGTGATTTTAATTCCATGAATTTTAGGAAGAAAAAAAGATAATGATGAGACAAAATTATACTATTTTTTTTAACCTAAAATTGATGCCTGACAACAATCATGGGCATTTTGGACTTTATACTACTTATTTCCTTTCAATTCTCATGTATACTAAACATTAAAATTGAAATTTCTAGTAATTTTATTCCGGTAAACCAAACACTGAAATTTAAATTCCCACTTTATTCTCAGTAATTCATCTCCCATAAAATTTCAATTCCTTTCCCACGTAATTTCCTCCCTCCAACCAAACGCTCCGTAAGAGGTTGATAGTGTATGTATTTAATATGTTTTATATCTAATTTTGTCCAAAGAATTATGTGCACAAGATTTAACTTCTTAAACACAAACGGTAATATAGGCATTATTATAACGTGCATAAAAATATGAAACTTTTTAATTTTATTATTACACTCCCATCTTATTTTTAGATATACCAACATATAAGAATGGTCGTAAATTTGTTATATCCATTTTCATTTCACTACATCGAAAAGGATAGATTATACCTAATCTAACAATACTACATATTATCAAATACGGAGTAATAAAACTAAGCTAAGGTTTTAACTCTTGATCATGATTTTATTGTATAATATAAAATGAAGATATATATATATATATATATATATATATATATATATATATATATATATATATATATATATATATATATATATATATATATATATATATATATATAAGTTTAAGTTCCAATGCCGGTTTCCCGTGCGGTTGTGCGGGTGATTAATGTGCATGAGTTTTGTACTTAATGTGCGTGAATCTTGTGCTTAAGGTGCGTGAGTTTTGTACTTATGGTGCATGAGTCTTGTGCCTAAGGTGCGTGGGTTGTGTGCTTAATGTGGGTGAGTGTGTACTTAATGTGAGTTGTTGAAAATTTAAAGTGCATGAGTTTTGTGCTCAAGGTGCGTGAGTTTTGTACTTAATGTGCGTGAGTGTGTACTTAATGTAAGTTGTTAAAACTTAAGGTGCATGTTTTTTGTGCTTAATGTGTGTGAGTTCTGTGCTTAAGGTGCGTCCGCCCGCACCTGATCCCTTCCATATATATATATATATATATATATATATATATATATATATATATATATATATATATATATAGGTCCCTGTGCGGTTGAAGGTGCCAAGTGCGGTTGTGCGGTGAAAGGAGAACCATTGATTTTGCTTAAATCAACGTTTAGATTACCAAAATTTTTTAAAAAAAATGCGGTGGTATTTTGGTAATTTTTTGCATTTAGGTCAAATGTAAGGTGCATGATTTTTGTGAGTTTTGTATATAAGGTGCGTGAGTTTGTGCTTAAGGTGCGTGAAATTTGTGCTTAAGGTGCGTGGGTTGTGTACTTAATGGTAATAGTTGTTGAAACTTAAGGTGCATGAGTTTTGTGCTTAAGGTGTGTAGGTTTTGTGCTTAAGGTGCGTGGGTTTTGTGTTTAAGGTGTGTGAGTTTTGTGCTTAAGGTGCGTAGGTTTTGTGCTTAAGGTGCGTGAGTTTTGTGTTTAAGGTGCGTGAGTTTTGTGCTTAAGGTGCGTGAGTTTGTGGTTAATGTGATTAGTTTCTGAAACGTAGGTGCGTGGGTTTCCTTTTTAATGTGCGTTGTTTTCATCCTTAAGGTGCATGATTTATATGCTTAAGGTGCGTCAGTTATGTGAAACTTAAAGTGAACAATTTTTAAAACCTTAGGTGCGTGATTTGTGTTCATAAGGTGCTTTGATATGTGCTGAAGGTGCGTGGTTTGTGTTCTTAAGGTGTTTTGTTCGTGTGCTTAATGTGCATGTGTTGTGTACTTAAAGTGCGTCAGTTTAATGCTTAACGTGCGTCCAACCGCACGGGACGCCATTCCCGCACCTGATCTCATCCATATATATATATATATATATATATATAAAGGGGTTCCTGTGCGGTTGAGGGTGCCAGGTGTGGTTGTGCGGTGAAAGGAGAACCATTGATTTTACTTAAATCAACATTTAGATTACCAAAATTAAATTAAAAAAACGCGGTGACATTTTGGTATTTTTTGCATCTACGTAAATTTAAAGTGTTTGGGTTTGGACTTAATGTGCATGAGTTTTGTGGTTAATATGCGTGTGGTTTGTGCTTAAGGTGCGTGGGGTTTGTGCTTAATGTGCGTGAGGTTTGTGCTTAAGGTGCGCGGGATTAGTGAGTAATGTCAGTAGTTGTTAAAACTTAAGGTGTGTGAGTTAATACTTAAAGTGCGTCAGTTTAATGTTTAATGTGCTTGAGGTTTGTGCTTAATGTGCGTGAGTTTATGCTTAATGTGCGGGAGTTTGTGCTTAATGTGAGCCATTTTAAAATCTTAAGTGCATGAGTTTTGTGCTTAATGTGCTTTGTTCTGTGCTTAAGGTGCGTGGTTTATGTACTTAATGTGAGTGATTTGTGTTCTTAAGGTGTTTTGTTTGTGTGCTTAAGGTGCGCGGTGATTTGTATACTTAAGGTGCGGCACGTTAATGTTTAAGGTGCGTTCAACCACACTGGAAGCATCACCCGCACCTGAACCCTTCCATATATATATATATATATATATATATATATATATATATATTGTTTAGGTAAGCTACAGCCGCACGCATTGATTGCAACGTAAAAGTTGGTTAATTACACAGCTACAGCTAATCAGTTCCCGTGATAGTATATATCGTACGCGTTTGACTACATATATATATTTTAAGTCTAATGATACTTAATTATAGATTACTAATTGACTCCTATGATACATAAAAAATAATTAAATAAATTTAAATCTAAGCTCATTTTATTCTTTTATTAAAAAATTATCTATATTACACTTTGTAAATTAAAATATATATAGAGTAATTTTCCTATTCAAAGCATTTTGAAATATATAGTTATAAGTAGTATTTTATATGAGCCATGCAGAAATATATATGTCCAATATTAATACTTAAGGTTAATAGTATATAGTTTTACTTTTAAATTCATAGTTGTAGAATACATATTATTTTAAAAGTATAGTTTATAATTTGAGTAATAATTATGGTATGATTAATATTATTAAACTTTTCTCCAAAAGAATATTATTAAAGTAAGAATTTTAGATATAATAAATTACTAAATATAATTATGGTAATGTTTAATTAAAATCTAAATGGATTCAAACTTATTACTTAAATTACTCTAATATATAATGTCTAAATACATTATTACCATTGAATAATATAAGAAAAGATATCGTACGCGTATGCTTGTGATGGTAATAATAATGAGAAAAGATAACAGAAATTATAATTATAAGGATATTTTTGTGTAAAAAAATTGTATAATACAACTCTTATATCATAATGTAAAAAAAAAAAAATGACATAAATCAAAAATATAATCTAGATTGAGACTTATTACATTTTAGATTTAGATAGTGCATTTTCCATATGTGTGTGTGTGTTGGAGATGTGCGAAGGAACTCCCAAGTGAAAAATGTGTGAGATCTTAGCCATGGATCTAATCTAAATTAACTGCCTAGAATGAAGGAAACATTTCAAAAAAAAAAAAAAAAAAAAAAAAAAACAAATGTGTAACTTCCTGGAGCAATTCGTTGATATTATATTACTAATAATAATAGTCTGAAGATCAAATTCAACCATTACTAATACATAAATTCAACCATTCGCACATTGAATTCATAACCAAAAACATTAATCAGGATTTAGTTAACTAATTGAAATTAGCAATTT